GGGAAAGAGAGGAGGGATATGTTACCCAACAGGGTCTGGGTGCTGCGATCCATCCCCAGCCTCAGCCTGGGCACATGTGTGCCTGTGCCTGGTGTATTCAGAGAGGGCTCTGAATGTGGACTGGGAACTTCCTATGTGTCAGCCACACAGAGTACTGCATTTTACCATTGCACCACTGTCTGGCCTTGGATGCTACAATAAACTATTTGTAACTTTTTCCACTGCCCTAAACTGACAAGAACTGCTTCACCCAAATCTACCCCTTTTACCAGGGACACTGTTTTATTTAATAGTCCGTCCACGACGAACTAAGAACATAAGTTATGTGGCTATGTGGTTGCCAAGCAAACAAACAAACATGTGCATAAGAAAAAAAATAATAAACCTCATTCTTGGGTTAAATACCGAAGAGTGTTTTTATCTGTAAGGCCACTATTTGAATGTGTTAGATAATTCTGTTCTGTTTTGGATGCCGTAAGTTAATGGGGACAAAAACAAGTGATGAAGCATAATTCAGACCAGAGATGTTCAAAACTATTTCAAAGTAATGTAACTCTCCACCCTACCCCCCCGCCCCATGATAGATCGTGTGTAAGTGTGAGAGAGAGAGGAGCAGCCTCCCAGGTCTGGGCACAACGCGATCTCCTTCCTCCAGTCCTCTAGTCCGTTGGGTCTAGGGCACTCATTCATGTGCTGGATGTGTTTCTGGCTGGCCAGGTGGGGATTTGAACTCCATTTGATTCTTTCATATAACTTTAGTACATTAGCCTTTAGTCAATAACAATTGTAGAAATTATAGTTGTGTGACTGTTTTTAAGAATGAACATTTATAATTGGTTCTCTATTTCTAGAAGTTTTATTTGTTTCAATAATTATAGCATCTCATTCCAGAAACGAGGAAAAAAATCTTTAAGTGTATGTGTGTGTCATCTATGTGTGCACACATGTGTTTCATTAAAAATTGCAAGAGAAATTTGAACTTTCTAAGTGTAATCACAGGAAATTCTTGAATTTCGTACTTTATTAATGTCATTATTTTAATCACTTTCATTAGTAGAGAAACTAGAGAAAGTATTTCTAGCAGCAAAAATAGAAATAGAAAACAAAGAAGTATGAAGCATATGCTAAAGAGAAAAAATATTAAGATTATGGAGTATTTTGTAGAATATCAATAGGCATTTACTAAACATTCACTGAAGGTAGAAATAAATACAAACTTTTCATGTGAAGGTTTTTTTCCTAAAATTGCAGCTTAATTAATGATAGATGATCATATATGCTATTGCTTGTGATAATCTATCATACTTGTCTTAGTATCCCTTCCTTTGAAAACATCGGGCAGTATTTGGAAATGATATTTAGGGTATAGTTCCTGGAATGTTACTCTTGCATGCCACTCCTCAGCCATGTGCACAGAAGTGTATGATTCTCAAATACTGCAGGACATAGTCATGGCAGGACACAATTAGCTAGGAGGAGTGGTTATCGATTTATTGTGCTTTCAATACATTTTATTTTTAATTAACTCTGTAATGTGCTCCTATGTGCAACAGGAAAAATGTTAAAATACATATTCTATTGTGTTGTGGGAATTGAACTGACTATATGTGCTAAATGCATAAGAGCATGTAAAGTAAAATATATAATATTATATTTAAATGTGTTTAGGATTATACCTTAATCAATTTATTAAGTAGGTACTCCATAACTGTCAGATATTGTTACTGTCATATTAAAACATGTGAATATAAAAATATACCTTAGTTTTAAATAATATCTCCAAAAAATAATATACCATAATTTACCTAGTAATGAACTACTAGGTTGTACAATCTTTTTTTAAAAAAACTGGGAAAGAGAGGAGGGATATGTTACCCAACAGGGTCTGGGTGCTGCGATCCATCCCCAGCCTCAGCCTGGGCACATGTGTGCCTGTGCCTGGTGTATTCAGAGAGGGCTCTGAATGTGGACTGGGAACTTCCTATGTGTCAGCCACACAGAGTACTGCATTTTACCATTGCACCACTGTCTGGCCTTGGATGCTACAATAAACTATTTGTAACTTTTTCCACTGCCCTAAACTGACAAGAACTGCTTCACCCAAATCTACCCCTTTTACCAGGGACACTGTTTTATTTAATAGTCAGTCCACGAAGGTCTAAGAACATAAGTTATGTGGCTATGTGGTTGCCAAGCAAACAAACAAACATGTGCATAAGAAAAAAAATAATAAACCTCATTCTTGGGTTAAATA